ATGCTGCGCCCGAAGGCTTTTTTGCTAAAATACATGTTCAGCTGGCCCGGAAAGTAGAGCTGAGGGTGCTGGAGGCTCCAGCGATCATTCACGTCCTGTTAAAAAACAGAGGGAGAAAAAAAAAAAAAAGCTGTGACAGACGGAAAGTAGAGGGGATACTCTGAGAAATGTGGTTGTGTCTCCGACTTATACCTGGTCAAAGATGCTGAGGCCGAGAACAGGGAGGGCTGTGTAGACTGTATTATACAAGGTGATGAACCACTCATCATACACACTCTAAAGACAGAAGCAGACAAAAGAAAATGATACGTAACATGCCATATTTCTGTAACACAACACACTTTTCATTCACATTATCCTCTGCAACTATAGAGATGTTTTTAACAACATAATTCCTGAATTAAAAGAGATCATAAATACGAATGCCAAGCTTGACTTTGCACTGACCATGGGAAATGTGAAAAAGGATTCCGCAGAGAGTCGTTTACCTGAGCAGAGAAGCCGCAGAAGAAGGCGTACCAGAAGTTCAAGAGGGCAAAGGTGAAGTTTTTGAAGAAGAAGTATCGGAGGAACTTGCACATGCGCAGGTAGGACCAGCGGCCGTGCACCAGCAGGAGCCGCTGGAGGTACCGGAACTGGGCGAAGGAGAAGTCGCTGGACAGAACTGCCTGCATGCCCTCCTGACCACTGATTCCCACACCGATGTGAGCGGCTGCAAAATGGAAAAAATTAGTCAAGACAGACAAAATAACTTACAAAACAAAGGTGTTTGGCTGAACCGAAAGCTCCGATCAGAGAATCCGATCAGGTTCACCTTTGATCATGCTGACGTCATTGGCTCCGTCCCCAATGGCCAGAGTGATGGCCTGCTTGTATTTCTTGACCAGCTGGACCACCTGGGCTTTCTGCAGAGGGGTGACCCTGCAGCAGATCACCGTCTGACACATGCACGCCGTCCTCAGCAGCTCCAGCTGCAGCTCCTTCTCCAGCGCAAACGCCTGAGGATGAAGAGGAAAAAAAGAATCAAATGCATTTATCTGAATGTATTTTCCGATTACTCCTCATTATTATAGTCGTGTAAGTAAAAGAGCAGCTTACCAAGCTGTGTCCGTTTATTATCAGGGCATAGTCTCCGTCCACCTTCTCGTCCTGCAACGTTTCCGTCTTCTCGAGCCAAAACAAACCCGCTCGAGCCCTGACCACAGAGGGCTCCTCCGCCGAGTCTGGAGACATTTTCCTTCTTGCATTCCTGAAAACAGAGAAAAAGACGAGAGGTGGTACCACCGGACACCATTCACGCCCAACCACTCAGCTCTCTCAGTCTATACGGAGACACAGGCTATAATGTTCTCCCATGTATTCCCATGCCAATAGCCCCTATCATTGTAGTGTTTATCTAACTATTTCCAAAAGGCTAAATTCCTGCTATGCTTTCGGTAACACTCATTCAATGACTGTAACATTATTTAATGATTTTTTTATCTAATGAAACTTACTGGAGCTCCTCTTTGACACCTTGGGCTGTATTGGCTGCCACAATGAAAACCTCGCTCATCTCTTCTCTCAGCATGTTGCAAGAATAGCCGATGTTTTCTGCCGTCTCTGTATCAAGACAGTGACGATGACAGTGAGGAACAGTTCAAATGGTCGGTGGCACTCTTGTTGTGTGACTGTGCTGACCGTCTGGACCAACATGAAAGAACATTGCGTGTCATATTAACTTGTGTGTTAACAGACGGTGAAATCAACCTTGTTTATCTCCAGTCAACACCCAGATCTTCATGTCAGCTTTGGCCAGTTGCTCAATGGTCTGTGGCACGCCATCTTGCAGCTTGTCCTCCACAGCTGTGGCTCCTAACAGCTGGAAAGCAGAGGTGAAAAGAGGAGTTCAAGAGAAACAATGCTTAACAGACCTTCTGCTTTAACACACTCACAACAATAAAATAACCCTGGTTTATCAAAGCCATGCTTGCAGATATCCATCATTAATGTTTGCTGTTAGCAAGCTAACACGGCCTGTTTAGGAACTCTACGCCTTTCAGCGGGTGCACTAACAATGAGATCTTTCTCGATGTCTTCATAAATCTGGTCCAGTCTCTCCTCTCGTCCGTCCAAAGCGATGCTGGCCTCATGGTGGCGCTGTCTCCACTCCTTCAGGTAGCTCTCATCCAACTCCTTGTAGGCCAGAACCAGCGTACGGAGGCCGTCACCTGCATATTCCTATTTGGGTTGATAATTAGAATCTTGTTAAAACATTGATAGTTACTCAATATTTACGCAAACACATGAAAAGGGCTTTGCTCACATTGAGGTGCCTGGTGGTGACCTCCATCAGTTTGTCACATGAGGGGTGTAGTCTTTCATAGATGATGGTGTCGGCTCCTTTGCAGTACAGAGTCAACTTTCCCTCAGGGCTGCGCACTGAAAACCACAGAGAAAGTAACATGGTTTGATTCACATGTGGAAGAAGACGTTATATGAAAATGCTCTTTTTCCTTAATTTTTTTTTAAAGCTGCCTAGTTTAGGCAGACATGATGACCTTTTTCTTGAGTTAACTATATCACATCTATGACTAAAGGCAGAGTCAAAACAGCAAAACACCAGACCTTAAGGAAATGATCCGGTATGGCCTCTGACGAAAAGTTTGGCTTTTTTAAAGTAAATGAAAGGAAACATGGAAAAGGTCCCATTGTGTTACTGCTTTTCTGTTTCTGTTACCTATTACTGACATCCTTTTCCGCACATTATTGAAGTCCAGAATGGCCACCAGGTCATAGACAACCTTCGTGCCCATCTCCATGACCGTGATGCTCTCTGGTGTGCGAGAGCGGAACACAAAACCAAAGTTCCTGGCTGCGGTCACCAGAGCTCCCTCATCAGGAGACTGAGCCTGGTAGTTGAGCTCCCCTAGCAGAGATGACAAGGGCAGGTCTTAATTCAACACACAAAACGTGAGAAAACACTATTTTCTACTCTCTATGCGTCTGAATATTTAAAAAAAACATTAATAGTTAATGTGCTTTAGGATTTTACACATTCATTGTAAACCCATGGAGTCACCAGTCCAAACATGAGCTGTGTGGTGGTTTTCCTGCTTATCCCCCTGCCATGTAGTAGGAAAGTGGATGAGTGGAGGATCCTCACCCTCTGTCTTTTCCTCAGGCATGACAGTGTGACACAAGGCCAGCAAGCGGAAGAAGGCCTGAGCCTCCGGGTTTCCTTCTCTCACCGTCTCCATCAGACTGTGATCGTGAAAGATGAACTTTGGATCTGCCAGCTGATTCCAGGAGAAGTCCAGCCTCTCTGTTTTCTACAGCCAATAGAAATAAGACTTCAAGAATTCATTGAAAAAAAACAAAAAAACAAAACAAAACAGTCATAAGTTTCTACTCTGACCTCTGTTATTTCCACCCTTTGTCCAGTGAAGTCATACAGCTCCCCTGGATAAAGGAGAATTAGAGATCAGAATCAGTAATTTCACCAATAATATGAAGTCTGAACTTTTTAAAACTGAATAAAGCTGTTCACCATAGGCTTTGCCATTGATGGAACACTTATTAAAAGCCATGATGTTCTGTGTCAGGGTGCCTGTCTTGTCGCTGAAGATGTATTTAATCTGGCCCAGCTCCTCGTTGAGTGTGGTGGTCCTCGCCTGGGCAGGGGTGTCATTCTTAGAGTAATACATCTTCCTGTCCCAGTCTATAAAGAAGCTGTTCCCCAGACGGATTATCTCCACACTGACACGGAAGCACAAAAAGACAGAGGCGATTATCAAACTCTCAAAGAGCAGTCCCTGCCCTAGTCTCAACTCTCTCAACTCAAGATTTTATGTGCCGAAACGTACCTGACATAGAGAGAAATGGGAACCACAGTGTTGAGGACTATCACATAGGACCAGAAGGAGAGGAAGGACGAGAGGGCTGCATTAATGCCTGGTTCCAGGGGAACAAACACGTGGAACACAGAGCCCTCCTTTGTCTCCCAGATCGCATTGCCGATGGCCAGAATGGTACACATAGTCGCCAGAAAAGCAAAGATCTGTGAAAAAGAAAGTAGCACATAGCTTTTTAAAGAAAATTTGTTATTTAAGGATGCGTCAGTTGAGAAATTGACATTAAAACAAAATAGTTTTTTTGAGCAATCAGTAACTTTTGAATGATTTTTCATGATATATTTATATTTTATCAGTCTGATAAAGTAGAGATTAACACTAGTGGATTAAAGTAATACAAAACAGATTCTAATTAGTTTCCACATGGTTTTAATGATCGATCAATACATTTATGACAGATAACATAAAAGCGACAGGTTCTGTCAACTTAAAGTAAAAAAAATAAAAAAATAAAAGACATTTTCAGTTTCTTTGTACTCACACATAACACCAGGACATTCAGCAGGTGATCGATGCTTGTACGTTTGAACACCGTCTTTCCACTGTTTTGCATCAGCTTCGTGTCGGGACCTGAAAACAGTCAGTGACCGACAATTATGTGGTCAGCCTTCAGCATTTGTACACAATGAGACCTTTTTCAGGGGGAAATATGCTGCAGACAGGCCTACTAATGAGCATCAACCCACACATTTGTCCCTCTTTGATGGTTTTTGACTGTTGATATACAGGCTCAGACAAAAAAAGACAGACATTTGCACACAGTTCCCGTTTACACAGCTCCAAAAAGAGGCAGCAAAGTAGTTTGTGAAATGTTAAGTGGATATGACCTTTAAATATTCACAACAGCCAAAAAGTTACAGCTACAATATAAATAAAAGTTTAGGGCCTCTGACTCGGTAGTACTGATAATGTGGCTTTGGATTCTGAAAAATAATATCTTCTGTGTATACATAGAAACTTTTTGGGAAGAAATATTAAGTATTTGAAGATGTATCTGGCTATTCTAAAGACAGAATCTCTTTATGGGGGAGTAAAAAAATAAATAACGTGATATGCTATAAAACCTGCTTTCTTGACGTCACATGATGTTTGAGAACAGGACTGAGAAGAAGACAATAAACCTTGGCTTAAAAACACTGTAAACCATCACATGAAGTCACTTAAGAATGATCAATGTACATTTTGAAAAGTTGAATATGTGTGTTACTAGATTAATTGTTGAAATATACATTTAAAATTCATTTAATGTTGGAGACATACAGCAAATAACTGCACCCATTTGGTAGAATGACCCAAATGGTACTTAATAAAACAGTCAAAGACAGTTTACCTCCAAAAATGACCAGTCCAAAGCACCAGTCTGTGTTTCTGACCGTGCACCCTCTGAGCAGCACCTTGTCGTTGTCCAGACTGTGGACCTCTCCGTTCACGGTCAGAGTCCCTTTGAACTTGTCCAGACGATTATTGGGAGGCTCACATCGCACCTCACCTAGAAACAAAACACAGGATCGTGCTCACAAATGTTCAAAGCTTACAATAAACCTTAATCATGACCCCAGATTTACTAATCTAAATTCATTCTGGATACAGTTTGGACATTTTGCAACAGAGATTCTGCACAGATATGACACAAAACTGTTGTATAGATATTGTAGACTTAAGGAAAATACGAAACAACTGAAGAAATTGAGCTTTTCATTTCTACTTTTGTCTAGATGAGGAAGAACTAAAACAAACTGGAATAAATTTTAGAAACACATGAGCAGTCTAAAACATGTACTGTATGTATAAGCTTAAATAATGGATAAATCCTCATAAATAGACAGAAAAAACACCAATATTGTAGCTGTCAAATTAAAAGTAGAGGGAATTGCACAACTTTTTCAAAAGTGTAGCTTTCAGAGCACGGCAAGACGCATTGCCTGCTCCCAGACAATTTGGTGTGCAAGTGAAAAGAAAAGGATGTTTACAACTTTATCAAACCTGGGGATCGAACGAATCAGGACAGAAAGCATTGCAGCTTTAAAATGGAGCACACACGATAGAATATTTGTCTTATTCATCCTCTCACCATTGAAGCTGGAGAGTACTTCAATGTTGTTTCCCATTTCTCCGGTGTAGGTCAGGGCCTGCTTCACTTTCAGATTGGTTTCACTGATGGGGGGAAGTTAAACGACAATATTAGCTCTTAACGCCAGATCTGCCCCACTGCCCCACGGGGCTCCACACTCACCCATCTAACTCGGCCGTCTCCACGTAGACCAGGTTCAGAGGCTCGCTGCTGGACAGCAGCAGGAGGTCAGCCTGTCGGACGGAGGAGGAAAGAGTTCAGCTGAACTTCTAGCATCTTTCTATTTTTCAAACACGTGTCACAGAAAGCCCATCACTCACGGTGACAAACTGATTGTTCTCCAGTTTGATGACGTCCCCGACCTGGACATTCATCCACTTTTCCTTTTTCAGTCTGTAGAGGAAGCATGAAATCACTTAGCAACGTTTTAGGAACCTGTGATGGGATGTTTGAATGTGAAATGACTCACTGTCCGTCGATGAGGACGTCCACGGTACGGTTGTTCACTTGCTTGTCACATTTGTATCTGTTCTGTATGGTAGATAGAAGGGGAAGCATTGTTTGCATTGTTTATCCAATCATTTGCCCAATAAGTTTTATTAAAAATCATGATGGCGTCTCCTTACTATGTCATCGCTTGCATCTTTGACCGCCGTTATGGACAGCACCAGAATCAAAGGCACAGCCGTGGTGAACCAGGAGAGGGAGGATATTTGAGGGATTAGCTGTCAACACAGAAACGCAATAAAGTCAAATGTATGGTCATGCGAGGCCGGGTTTGTTTGAAAATTCACAGATATTTTACCTGAAGGATCACAGTTATTTTACCTGAAGGATGAGAAGGAACAGGAAGTAGGCATTGGCCAGCCTCCTGAACTGTTCAAACAGGTTGAGCGGCAAGAAAGTGAAGACGTTGTATTTGGAGGTCTTGATGGCATTGTTCTGAAAACGAGGAGTGTCAGGTTTCGTTTATAGTGATGATAAGTTAACTATTAATCCACACGACATGCAGTTTAAAGTGCACTGCCACACTCCGACAGCGATCAACTTAATGGTTATGAGGTATGGTTTTCCACTTACAGCATATTGGTAAGACAGGTTAAAAGGTCTGTCATTGGCCCGCAGGAGTCTCTCTTCCTCTATGAAAAGAAAGCAAAAACAACGCAAAAATATCATGGGGCATTAAAGCAGCTGCAGGTAAACCCTTCTCCCTTGTTCAATTGTTTTTTTTCACTTGTTTTTCTTTCAGCATTTGCAAATTTGCATAGCGTTTTGTTCATTTATTTTCTGAAAAGTAAATGAGAGTTTCTGAACTTTTTACTATAATTCAGAATCCAAGAAAAGTGAAGCAGCAAGTCAATGTGGAACTTTTGATAATTTGAAAACATTTTTCACATCATATCTTTCTTCCAAATGTCACACAACTGGTCTCCTCAGTTAACCAAGTGTTCACAGACGTTTGTGACAGCAGTCAATGACGTGATCAATACTTCAATAACTACAGGTAGATTCCGTACTGCCTTCAAACAAGCCCAGGTAAGCCCACCACTCGAAAAACCCTACCTCGGCCCCACCCAAGTGGAGAACTACCGACCGGCATCCCTCTTCCCCTTCCTGGATAAAACCAATGAACGATCTGTTTCAAAGCAGGTCACAAAGTTCCTCTTCCAACACAACCTCCTTGATTTGAACCAATCCTGCTTCAAGAATGGCCACTCCACAGAAACGGTGCTCCTGTCAGTAACAGAATAGGTAAATGTTGGCATTGAGGGCATTGCACACTCTTGGTTTGAATCCTACCAAACTGCACGATCATTCAAGGTGTCATGGCAAGGCCAAACATAGACGCAACTCTACCTCACCAAAGGGGTGCCCCAAGGCTCAGTGCTGGGGCCCCTCCTCTTTACAATATACAGCACTTCGCTGGGCCCAACCATCCAGTCACATGGCTTCTCCTGTCAATTTCTATGGAGACGACACCCAGCTACATCTGTCCTTTCCTCCAGACGGCCTCTCAGTACCAACGCGAGTCTCAGACTGTCTTTCTAACATATCTGCATGGATGAAAGATCACCACCTCCAATTGGATCCCTCCAAAACTGAACTGCTCGTCATCCCAGCCAAACAAACTAGTCACAATTGTATCAGCATACAGCTTAGAGCTCACTTTCAATATTTTTTGTTGTTGTCTCTCAGTTTTTCAGGCTCACTGTGTATGTCACATTGAGTAAAAAATGATTAAATCCTCTTGACAGTTAATATAAATAAAAAAAATGTGCAATGTGTGTGTGTCAGTTAGAACTCACCTTTTACTTTCTGCCCTCCACAAGACAATGCTGATCCCATCTTTAGCTCAGTTTCTTCATATTCCACACCTGAACAAAAAGTCGCCATGAATCATATTTGATGTAACTTGGGCAAAGTCAATTAAGAAAGACAGTTAAAAAGTTTGTAAAAAAACAAAATCAGGCCAATACCTTTGACAGGACACTTGTGCAAAAATGAAACGGAAACAGAAAATGCATACAATGCATAGTCTTTAATGTTTGATCTGCAATTATGATCATGTACAAATCTGCTTTAATAGTCAAGAATTAGCTGAAAAATGTAGAGAAATTGTGAGAAAAAAACACAAAAAAACTGAATAACCAAAATAACTATTTCTGGGTATTTTGACTATGCTGAAACTGTATGTTGTCCATAAAGAAAGGGCCAATGAACACACTCATGTTTGTGAGGATCCATCGTCATTTAGAGAATGTGAGTAAAGAGCCTGGAAAAGCACAGTAACGGGTCAAAGCAGTCCAACAAAGCACGCAGCACACAGTCTCAGCTTTTGGGTGATTTAATGCACATAAAAAAGTGCATAAGTATGTGTGGATAAATCTAGATTCAACATGTACCATCAATAGAATCTCTCAATGATCTGATCTCCCTCAAAGGCCCAGAGTAGCAAAGAGTATCGGCTGCATGATGAACTGTGTTACTGCATTTCCTGGTTTGCTCTTCTAGCCACAAAAAAGGGGCATTAGGGGACTCAACTTTAATCAGAATATAGATATTATGTAGGGACTTTATTTCCTACATAACAATGAGATGTGTAGTTAAACTATAAAGAAAATAGTCACATACCTCAATCAAAAACAGGATTTCCTCCAAGTCCACGGTCACACAAAAGAGGGAGGCTCCACCTTTCTAGCTTCACCTTTACCTTCGTCTTAGTTGAATTATGTTAAGGCCCCAGTCTGCAAAGCGCACCAAAGGCCTCGATTGGTTCAGTCGGATGAGAGGAAACCCTGCAAACTCGTTCCAAATGGTTCATGTAGGAGAATCAACTTCATGTGAGGTTTCAGCTTCAAACAGGAAGAAGCGTCTCTAACAGTCGAGGGCTTGAACAAACAGTACAGTATCTGCACGGTGAGTCAGGGAAGGAGTGAACGGGCAGTAAAACAGCAATAAATGGAAGGATTCTGGCCAATCAGAGTCAGTATCGCGGTTGTAATCTGGGCAGTAAGGTGTGCAGCACTCCCTAGGCCCGGAACGCATGCTCAGTCGGGCCAGAGGTGACAGTTTCAGCCTCTTCCCCTTCTGTCCCCCATTCCTTTTAAGTAGGTTACAACTTATAAATTATTAACGATTTATTAAAAGCAGAAACATGGGTTTGAATATGTTTTTATCTATTCAATGAACACGTTCAAGTTTAAACTCTCTAGAGAAAAGATCTATAGTTGTTTAAATTTAACAGAGTTCAAATCTGACACATTCTTTCTTTAAGGTTCAGGTCACAAACGTTTGACCCCTTAAACAGCACCTTTTCCTACATTTTAGTGCAATCCATTACACAAAAAAATAAAACTGTGAAAGAGTAAGGTATGGAATTGCTGCTCACTGCTAAATTTAAGAGGCAGGGACTTCCACAATTAATGGGTGTGGCCAACCATAAATTATGTAGCTCTTGTCAATTTTTTACGTAGCGGCAATATTTTCTTGAGACCCCAAAACATGCTCCATTAAACAATCATTCACGTTTTTTTGTCCTTGTAATAAATAAAACCAAGTATAATGAGAATTGCTTGAGCCAAGGCACAAGGAATGGATATTTGCATGTTAAATAGAAGACTTTGACTCCAGTCACTTTTCTTTCTTGTAATAACAGGACATAACTTAAATAAATTAAAAAAAATAGTTGTGCACAACATAAATTAGTGCTTAAAGCAAAATAAATATTCATATATAAAGCAAAAGAGCAGGTATGAACAACAGGGCTGGACAGTTAGTATATGATGAATGATGGTGGGTTCACAATGGAAATAATGCAAATAATGGGAAACAAAACCCTATTTGTGGTGGGTGGTTTGTACTCTGTAACACCATCCTGATGCAAGAATGGCAGAAGTCTAAACAGGTTCGGACCAAGGGTCTCTGGACTTATTATTATATATTTTTGGTACAGGTCATGAATGAGGGGGACGGTCAGTGCCGATAATCTTCTCAGCAGACCGGATTATTCCCTGTGGTCTGTCCTTGTTCTGATGTGCACAGGCCCAAATCAGAAATCCTGTCTCTAAAAGTTTGCTTTAAAAGGTTGGCGTACTTTCGAGAATCCCAATCTGTCAACACATGAGGAAATTGTAAAGATGTTTAACAGCAATGTTCTTCAAAGAGATATGAAAAGTGATCGATTCTTCTATTTTATATCGAATATCATTAATATCATTATATTAAAAACAAATTATAATTAATAAAATTATATTCACCAAGTTAACCGGGTAAAAAAAGGACAACAATGAGGAATATTCCAGCCACAGTCTTAGTCTTTGATGGAAAAAAGAGGTCCCTTTTATCCCAATAGAAGAGTATCAAAAGGATAATCAAGCACAAGTCCAGTGGTATTGTCAATTTGCCAAAACCTCCTGCGTTGTATTGGACATACATCTACATCTTTTTTTTATTTAAATTTTTGTTTATTTAGCTTAAGAGTTATGTGTTAAATGCAAGGAATTTCATTTGAGTTATACAGCCGTTCCAAAGGGAGCGATAAAGTCCAAAAAGCATCTGCAATCATAATTTATAAACAGGCTCAAGCCTGGAGTTTAATCCTGGATGTGAACTTGAGTGGGTGACAGAATTTAAGAGTCATTTCAAATAAATAAAAAAGAGCAGGTGATAGATAGTTCTCAAACACTTTATACAAAATTCATTAACTGGAATGTTTACATTGTGACACCAACATTCAGAACAGTGAGAGTACAAAGAAAACACCACAAAATGCAGTTACTGGTGACCGGTGTAGTGTACTTGTTAAATATTGCAGTGAACTAACCGTTTAAAAGTTTAAAACATAAAAGAATACATACACTTTTTAAAAAAAAAGGTTTTTTAAAAAAATCAACACTTCCGTCTTGGCACAAAGAACCTGCATCTTACATGTACAGGATGGCTTTAAAACACTAATTATTCACAGGGTTTTACTAACTGTAAGAAAGATTAGTGTGATTCTGTGGTTACAGGGAGATCAGTTAAAAAAAACTAAATGAAAAAAAGCACAAAAAGCTATTCATGCCATCACATTTCTCCATCACGTTGCTTCCTTCAGCTCACATTGAAAACATTACGCCAAACCGAGTGGAGGAACTGAGCACTAAACATAACAGACGGTGGTGAAAGGTTAACATGGCGCACATCACTGAAAAATGACGAGTACAAAACGTTAAGGAGAGCCATTCGGAGCAATCCTGACATCATCGGGCACAAAGCCGTGTGGTGAGCTGTGTTTTTAGGGAGCTAAAACAAAAAGTGAAGATCCAACACAACGATAAAAAGGTCAAAATTAGCTATTTTTCTACACCTAAATAAGGCCACTCATTCCAAAAGTAAGGGATAGAGGAGGAAAAAAGAAATATTTGAACTAAATTAGTTTCCCGTCATCAGCCCGGATGCTTGTGTCTAAAAGGTCCCATCCTGGCGTTGGACTACAGACCTGTTCCCTGAATGTAGAGACGTGGAAACGTTCGACAGGACGTGCATCTGGAGGATTTGCTTAGTCTCCTGATATTTTTCAGGGGCGGTATTCTGCCAAACTGCCTTGTAACATAGCAGCAGATCATTCAGACTGTCAAATTCTCACACAATCCGTCCATGGAAACACACTTACACCCGGCAATAAACAACATATTTTAATCCCGAGCTTTCAAGAGCACGGACGAGAATAAATATTTGTAAAAATCAAATAAATAAATTGGCTATAGCATCAAGGACACGCTGGGCCTCGTGGGCCAAGAGTTGTTGGTTGAGTTAATAAATAGAAAACGGCCAATCGGGCACACGGAGAATAGGTTTTTCATGAGGTTCTGGGTCAAACTTGTCGTTGTATTCCGAGACTGAACACCGGCTGTCTCTGCTGGAGACACAAAATCTAAGCCTGACAGAAAAGGCACGCATTTAATCATTCATTCTTTTTTCCAGAGGTGGGGCGGGCCTTAGGGTCACTATTTACGGTACCATCTCAAGTAAACATTAGCTGTCCGTAATCGCCTTCTTAAAACCAGTAAAACGTCCCAGTAAGCGTCCGAGCCGGGCCGTCTTCCTCGTCCTTCCCTGGAGAGACCGTAAAGGGGCTGAAAAACACTAACGGGCTTCACACATTCACAGTTTACAGAGTTTAAGGCTTCGAAACACTTGGCCACACTTGGATGGGGGGGGGTTTGGGGGTATTGCACAAGAACACTTGGGAAGGTGTTGGGGACGTATCAGGCCCTCTGGCAGGAAGTGGCAAAAGCTGGGATCCTTCCCCCCCATCGGAAGGCCCTAAAGCGGACAGACTGTTCCTTTTTCTGACGGATGGAGAAGGTGCTGTGGTCAGAGCCCGGTGTGGGCCGAACCGGAGCTATGCGCTGGACGGCGGTCGGGGGAATTGAGGAACACGGAAAACTGCGAGTGTTGGACAATTGAACAGTTTAACAGTGGGGTTTTGTGAGCTTGCCACGAGGACTCGGCAGTGGCTAAGACACGTCAGAGGTCTAAAAATAATAAAAGATTTAAAAAAAAAAAAAGCTACAGAAATGTCCCTGCTTTATGACATGAGCCTCGCATGTACGTCGATTTCTCTTGTTCGGGAATTAAAACAATAAACTATCCTCATCTCCCCTCCTCCGCAGAGCGGGACTCCGACTTGAGCCTGACGAACTCCTTGGCCACGTCGTCGTTGGAGCGCTGGGAGAGGATGCGCATGGCGGTGAGGCCCGTGTCGTCCATGTGGATGCGCTGGCCCAGCGGGCACCAGCAGGCGCAGTTGCCCTTTTCCACCACGTCCCGCAGCTGCACCACGGCCAGGCCCACCACGCGGTCGGCCCGGCCGAAGCAGTAGTCCTTCACGCAGGACTGCACCTCGTAGCACTCGAAGCCGTCCCGGTTGCCCAGAACGCTGCGGGCGGGGAGAGCCTTTTTAGCTAGCCTCACACACACACACACACACACACGCGCACACAACCGTCTGGCAGCGAGTGTTAAAGAGAACGATGCCAAAAGCTGACTGCAGCGCAATATTTTAATAATGACTGTTGATGGAAATTTAGAGAATACGGATATATGCTCAAATAAACACTCTGAAAACAAATGTAGCGGGCTATGGGAGACAGATGTATTACAAATATATGGAAACTGCAGCTTTAAGAGCTGTGTAGTCAAAGTATGGGTAGAAACATCACATTAAACCACATTAAATGATTTAAAATGACTGGATCAGAGAGGGGCTTTGTTAAACTCACAAATGGAACGTTTCGTTGAACTTGGGGGACCAGCTGTTGTTCTTGGATTTGGTCTGAAATTTGCGCTTCTTGTCGCTGAGGTGAGGCCCGATCATGGTGACCTCCACGAAGGGCCTGAACATCCCCGATGTCTGCCACTTCAGGTCGCTGGCCGCTATGACTGCGGTGACCGGATGAGTGGGTGCCGTTTAAAAAACGCGGTTTATTGGAAATTAAAACAAATGAATTGAAAAAATAAAATGGAACAGACCTTTAACGGTGACCTTCCGCTCCCCGCTCTTTGGATGGGTGTACAGCTCGATCTGGAGGGACACTTCCCCGATGGGCTTGTCCACTCCGGAGTCTGGGTTTCATAAAAACACACACATACGTTAAGCGAGCTTACAGCTGGTCCCCCCGCAGCCAAAACAGCTCTTGATTTGTAATGCACAGTTTGAATGGAGAGGAAATACAGGTGGAGAGGGTGGGGTTTTACCAGCTAAAGACAAAAATCTGAACCTATGTGAGGAGAGAGGATGGGGAAAGGACAGGAAGGCTGGCAGATGATTTCAGTGAGACCTACCCCTGCTGGGCTGTACTTTTTCATTGGGAGTTAACCTAATACCCTTTCCATTGTGCACTGGCACAGAGGCAGCACAAGAGATAAAAAAAACAGAAGATAGCAAATAACATGTGAAACAATTTCCAGAAACACAAACACTAAGCAGAGACACGGAATATCCAGGATAGCTTTTTGCGCTCTCCCTTTAAGCCCACGCGTGGCACTGTGGACTCATGGAAAGTACCTTGGGCGTGCTGCGTGGTCACAAAGGTCTTGATGAGTGTGTCTGTGGTTTGGGTGTAGAGGGACAGAGCATGGCGCAGTGAGGACAGCTCAGCGCTTTTCTCCAGGAAGGCCTTCTTCAGCCCGTTGCCTCCTGCATGGAAGTATTGCTGGGAAGAAAACAGAGGGCGAGTCAACCAAGGAAATTTTAGGCTTCATTGTTGTAGTCAAAGTATCATTAACATATATGAAACAAAATGTTGCTTCAATGAAACTTCCTTTAGCTTCCTTTAGTAGAATAACGTGTGTTGGTGGTTTTCTCCCACATTACACTCATTCTTGCCACTTATGTTTTTAAAAAGATTATCATTATCATTATTTTTGGACCTTTGGATTTTGGACTTTGGGCATGGTTAAGCAGTCAGCTCATTTTGCGAAACCCAGAAATTTCCAACCTCCACTAACATATTTTGTGAAAAACTGTTGTAAGTTCCTGTTCTTTAAATGAAACAAGATGTCGCCTGAACCCTACAACCCTCAGATTAAACACACCTAACTTTAATAACCAGTTATAAGGGCTTCTATAGATTTTTAAGTAATTTCTGCAAAACTGCTAACTTTCATGTGCTGGTCTTGGAGGGATATAGCCACATTCTTGCACCACTTAAACCTTTGGGAAACTCAATAAATTCACCAGTTTACTCAGTTAGTTTCACCCATCTCGCTTCAAACTTATCGAAGGCAACAGTTTTGTTCTGAACTCACCTTGATCGTGTCCAATGCCACATCCATGACTGCACACTGCCTGGGAGACAGGCTTTTAGCCTCCCCTGCCATGTGATCCTGCACAAATTCAAATAGTATAAAAGTTGAGCAGAAAAAAACAACCTAATTTAACATCAAGTGCATGAAGAACTCCCAATTACCTTCAGTTTAGAGAGCTGTCCAAGTTCTTTAGCTGCTGACAGGATCTGGGCTCCCTGAAAAAAGACAGCCCGAAAAAGCTGGTCTGAGATTCTGTTCTTTGGGTATAACATTCGATCATCGCAGAGCCAAATCGGTTTAAAAATGAAGGAAAACAAACAGTGGACTTACGAAGGTGTCATTGCCCTGCGGCAGGACAATGGTCTTCTCCAAGCTGCTCATTACGATCCTCCACAGCTCTTTGAGCACACGCTTCAACACGGTCTTCTCACAGACGGTGGCAAACAGAGTCAGTCTGCCAAAAAACAAGCCGGCAGACACAGATGTGAGTTGTAAGCAGATGTAAGCAGAATTTTGGGAAATTTAAAGCGACCTCATCACGCCTCTCCTCGTGCCACTCACTTTCCGTCCAGGAAATCCATTAGCGGCCGCAGCATGTTGTCCGAGTCGGCCTCCACCTGGGTTTTGGTGTTTTCGTTGAGCGGGCCTTTGATCTGGTACAGCAGGGACGCCATCTGCCGCATGCAGTCGTTGATGCGGCTCCGGAAACTGGAACGGGAGAGACCGGTCGGTGTGATGAAAACGTTGCCGGTAGGTTCGGGACACGGCTTTTTTTGCGGTGTTCGTATTGGGATGCGTACCTGTTTCCGAAAGTGCCGCTGAGGTCGTCCAGCACGTTGTTCAGTCTCACCTGCAGGTCGTTCAGCAAGTCGCTGGCTTCCATGTCCATCTGTGGGAAACACGCAGAGGCCAAGTGCTAAGTTTCAGAACACTGAAGAAAGAAATACTGAACAGGTGTATACTCGCCTTTAAATAAAGGATTAGGAAACCTTAATACGCAGAATAAAAGAAACTGTTTTCTTTCATATTCAGCTTTTAGTCATAAAACCCCCAAACAAATTTTTCTGAAACTCTAAAAGCTGCACATAAATACTCTTGAGCCCAAGTTATCCGGATTGCACATGTATGATTTAACATACGCATGCCCACTTGTTTCACTTGTTCATTTTTGAAAGATCTTTTTAAACTTATTTTTCTTTTTTCAAAGGTTTTATGTATTGACTTGCAGGAAAAATGATTTAGTCCGCACAATCTTTTGAAATATAACGAGGTATATCATGCCGTGTCACTGGTAAAATAAAACTTGAGCCGCTACACTGACAAACAGAGTTTCCATTAGCTTGTAGGACCACCTACAGCAGAAAATCACCTGAAGAAATTGCTTACTTTATGACATATTGATAGATTAATCAAGTTCTTTCAGCTAGCTGAACTCACTTCTGCCTAATTCCAGTTGAAATACGTATTATGATGCATAAATAATGATACAGTAATGTGCTGTTTTTCCACCAGACATATTTTTCTGATCACATGGATTTATCTTTTGTTTTATATATATTTGATGCCATGAAAAAAATAAAGATAAGAAAAATATGAGCATGTGTGTACATAAGCTAAGACACAACAATGGACAAGGCAAGGGGAGCATGAGGAAAGTTGGATGAATCGACTCCAGACCGTCATTAGGCATCGGTGTCCTCTAAAAAAGCAGAGGCTGATGGGGAGCTTAGCCACATGGATAAAGGTACAGCCTGGCTCATTGAGTCCATGAGCCAAAGGGCTTTTGATTCATAGCCTGTCAGAGCTGCAGAGCACCATTAGCGAGGGGAAAGCAAAATGTTTCTGCTTTGTGGCAAAAGGGAAGGCTTCAGGGGAGAGAGGGCAGCCACAAATGGATTGTGTTATGTTTGGAATTAGCTCCGTGTCTTTATCTCCTTTTCCGTGCACGTGCCTGTGCACCTACACTCACCTTTTTATCTTCAGTTGCCTTTTCACTCTGTGGCAGCAAGAAAGTTGGAGGGTAGCAGATGACAACTTTGATTAAGTTTCCATTTTGGAATGACATATTTTGGATATTTACTCTCAGGGAAACTAATATAAAAGGAAATTATTTATTTATTTAATTATTTGCTGTGGCAGCAGGTAAAATCGAGGCCTACCTTTTCTACCGGAGCATCCATCTTTGCCAGATGAAAGTTATTTTTTAGATTGCGAAGGAAAAAAAAACAAGAACAACTTTCAAACTATCCTGCTTTGTTGGTAGAAAACAAACCATTGAAAAAAACAAAGTCAATAGGTTTCTTAATGATTTTCTTTAAATAAACAAAGTACAAAGAGTTTATCATAAGGGGGAAATAAAGAAATGTGTAGCACTTGCACCCACCTTGTCCTCATCAGCCTAATGCACATGAATGAAAAATAACAAAGGAAACAGAAAATAAAAACAGGTTACATTAGAAAATTCTCAAATTGCCATTTAAGGGAATTAGAAGGAGCATTGTGGTGGAAAATCAGGGAAAACTGTTTCAAAAACCAGATGGAAATCCCTATAGATGAAATTCAAAACCAGACGCAATGAACTCCAGCATGGTGGGTGGGGAGGGGGGGTGCCTTGTTGTTGTCATAGGAACATAATATGAAATAATGTTAGTTGGAATAAAGTGAAAAAGGAAAAGGCGCGTGGGAAAAAAAAGAATAGGACTTTTGAGGAATGACGATAAAAAGCACGTGTAACGAACCTCAACCTCTATTTTCTCCCCTTCCTCCCCTACTTCCTCTTCTTCCTCACTTTCTTCAAACTATGGGTCGCAGTGAAAAGACAACAGCATTTATGCATTGTTGCTTCATGTTTGGTTTTCAGTGGAGAGAGATTCAGAGCCACTTGTTGGATGAATGTGTGTGTATATGCAGTCATGCCAAACAAAACATGTTTGCATATACAGTCCAGAGAACTTGCCTGCCATGCTACCGTACTATTGTTGAGCTGAAGAAGGAAAAAAAAGAAAGAAAAAAGTAATCTTTCATTGTCTCTTTACCCATAAAATAGATTTATATAAATATCTTTTTTTATGCTGAAGAGAACTAAACTGAAACCACAGAGTTTTTCAAAATGTTAGTATCATACCGCTGAAAAAAACAGACCAAAGTGTGATCAGCCACTCCATCCCTTTTTTCATGATCCCAGAGGAAATAAACTGATCTTTCTTAAAGCGCCTCAGACTTCCTCCTCCAACAACCTCATCGGGAATTATGAACGTAGAATTGACCGCAAACAAAAACAAAAAGTGTAGGAAAAGGAAAAAAAAACTAAGCAAACATTCACAATGAACGCTTTACTGTATGATTTTCATTTTTTCTCAAATTTCTAGGATTTACCATGCAAGAGGGGGAATTGTATTAGATAATTATTTTCTCTTTTAGCCCAACAATGCTACTTCAAAAAAACGAATTGCAGCTTTTTCCTTTGTTGAAGCTGAAATAATTCTGTGAGCAAAACTGCCTGTAAAATTCTTCTTCATATGTGAAGACCAGATCAAATAAGTAACAAACAAGTCACCAGATTTCGGAGTATGGTAAATATATCTCTAAACGTGCTATGGGCATGAAACTGTCACCATGAACTGAACTGTTTTAAATACTGCGTACAAAAGCCTTTGGTGATCATGAAAACTTAAAGACATATGGACAAAATACTCCCATGAATTGCTAGACTGGGGTTTCGGCATATTAGTCCAATGTGTCATTTCCCATTACGTATGACGTCTGGGGTTTGATTTAGAAATTATTTTTACTTCTAAATATATGGAAAAACTGCTGATGCATTTACATTTAGCAGACACTTTTATCCAAAGCAACTTCCAAAAAGATGCATTCAATATTTATTTGACCTGTTGCCTATAGATGAATGATAGGTAGAGACTTGACAGTTTGTTCTAGTGAGGACGTTAACGTAGACGTGCATACTGGAATATTCAGCAGAAAACTATATGTTACTACGGATCAGGGGTGGGCAATTCTGGGCCTTGAGGGTCGCGGTCCTGCAGGTTTTAGTAGTCTCCCTCCTCTAAAGATTGGTCAACTCTGCAAAGGACTGCTTACATTGTGTTGATGGGTGCAGGAAAACGTCTAAAATTTGCCGGACGGTGGCCCTGAAGGCCCCGGGTTCCCCACTCCTGCCTAAGATGCTAAGCTAGTTTGTGCTACAAAAAACTACAGCCCCTTCTAGAAGGCTTAGACTGACTGCTGGAGACTAAACTGCTACCACTCACAGAACCCACCGTAGGCTTTGCTTCCAACTCATCAGGCACAAATTGCTGTCCAATACAAAGGCAGAGGGACAAAAATTGATACACAATACTTCGGCACACGGCTAAACTTTTCGAACAGTCAGCAGATGGGTGACATATTGTACCACGAAACATACCTCCTCTTCTGCCTCCTCCTCCTCCTCCTCCTCCTGTGTGATTTCATTTAGCTTTCATTTTAAAGCGAACACACAGAAACGTAAGTTGATCCATTCAAAAGCAGGAAGTCAAGAAGTCTAATACTACTCTACGAACTTAGCTCACAGCTAACTGTCCATATCGTTTCCAAAATAATCTTACAGCTCACATGATTTACATAATTCCATCTGTGCTACCTGTGCTAGCATCACTACATTAAGAGCTACAGTACATATACTAGCTCATCATGTGGCATATTAAATAATTCCACAAAACTGAAGAGCAACGGTAATTTTTAATCTGGCCATACCAGCAACTACTTCTAAGGCAACTGAGCGAGAACTGCTGTACATACCCGTGCCTCCTCCACTGCAATCTGACACATAACGTGCACAAACACAATTTTATTTAATCAAGAACCTGCCTCTATGTTTTTACGAATGGACGACTACCGCCTTGTATTGAGAAGGACCCGTGAGCACAATTGTACCCCAACGTGTGCACCTTCCAGCTCGCTACTCACCTGTTTGGCACCCATGGACTCAAACATCTTCTCCAGCTGAATTCTTAGCTGCTGCACATTATTCAAGAGGACGCAGGGCTACAGGAGGGCACAGAAAAGAAAGGGGGCTTACTGATCTGAAAAATACATTGTTTTTTTTCAAATGGATTTAACATTTAAATGCAGAATTCAAATTTTTTGTAACTTGGCAACATATTTAAGAAGCCTTTCGCTGCATTTTTATTCTCAATCATGAACACGGGTAAACACCTACAATATTCTCCTTATCAATGTAAGAGGGAAAACTCTTGGTCAGAATGGCACTGTACTGCAGAAGAACCTTGGCAATTGTCTGCAAAAATAAGGAGAAATACATTAAAACCCACTCAGATCCCTGTGCATGAAACTGCTCATTATTTAGAGAAAAAGAGCTTTAGGTTTTGGGTAAATGGGCCACCCCCCAAAACAAACATAATTCTCTACCATGCAGGAAAATAAATCCAAAAACACAGAAGACTGCTTGCGTTATTTGTTATTGACTTGGTCCAGGGATGTGGGTTACCTTGGAGAAGCGGCGGCTGTACTGAGCCATGACACTGGGATCTGGACATTCCAGCTTCTTGATGATCTCAAAGCTCTGATTGAGCTGGGTGAAGATGTCCACCACAGAACAGGAGAACAGGGCGTGCTCCGACGTCTGCTGGAACTGAGAGCGCATGAACCGTATCGGGTTATTACCAGCATACAGGTCTGGGGATAGCACCATGACACATAAAGAGGGCCTCGTTTCATTTCCTTACTCCATCTTTTTTGTCCCTCTCCAGTGCTCCGTGCATAAACTCCATTGACACGTCCTCGTTCTCGTCCAACCACTGCAGAACGAACTGCACAAACCATCTGAAGGGGCAGAAGCAAAGATCAGCATTTTTATTTCTCTCTCTCTACAAACTGTTCTTTGACTTCTAATTAAATATCTATGATGAACACTGGACTTGGTGCTAGAACACATGCGAAAGAGGTCACGCGGACTTACGATGGGTAGTCGGGAACCACGCCCTTAAAGTTGGGCAGCTCCTTGACGTATTCATTGCAGAGCCACTTGACTTTGAAGTGCAGGTTCATGTAGTCTGTGCTCTTACACAGCCTGTGCTTCTCATGTTCTGCATGTGCAAAGAAAGAAAGTTGTAAGACTGAAGATCTCAACTGATAGCCCACGGTTTCCTGTAATGAAGCCTGAGACGGATTACTGGACAGCAACAGGTTGCCTCCTCAGATGTGGGCTGTCTTTAACAGCGTATCTATAAAAATCCACCATTCTGCTTGCTTCTACGGTTTAACCTGTTACAAAGTTTTATTAATATCGCTTTTGCTGGATTAAATCCTTAGTTTGGAATTTAAATGAATTCAGTAGTTTCGCAGAAGATAATGCAAACTGTGTTGAGACTCGGACGTCACTGTTCTTAATCCTAAACTTCCTGTTTTTGTCAATGCCCTTCATTTGCATGCCAGCTATGATGCCTTTAGGAATACAAACAAAGCAGCTTTTTCATTCATTTACCACAAAGTCGCGGCGGTCAGGAGAAAGCATTAAATGTCTATACTGATTATTCCACAAGAAGACATGCGAGTGGTATCTGAAAGGCTTTTTGAAGAGCCTGAAGGTAAATCTGATTCCATTTGAATGAAGTTTTTAACTAAATCTGTTTGTTTAAACAGAAGAATGAAAGGGGTCGCCGTTTGTGTGCTGTTTTATGCTGAGCCAGACAGAAAATCTGCAGAAGCTGTCTCTGTTGGGGGCTCATACGGAGGACAGGGGCTAGAATGACAGCTACTTGCCTCTGAGGACCAGTGGTGAATCTACTGTACAGCAGTGGAAAAATACCAAGAGGCTCCTGGGACACATAAGCCGCTTTCAAACTCTGCACGGTTAATATTTTGCTCATTCACTCCACTTCCATTGTGTCATTTCCTCCTAGAATTTATCCTCTCCCTGTGGTCATGTCAACTTTCATCATACAGCCCCCTCACATAACAGTTGTCTGATTTCCTCTATCTTTTACTTTGCGTTTGGCCGAAAATAAAAACTAATTTCCAAAATCCAATGCAGCTATTCTATATAAAGTTAGAAAAAAATTGCTAAAAATTGTTTACACTGCTTGGCACCAAGACACACCTTCCATAGCATACTTCATGTCCTGAGCAAACAGTGTCCACATGACCTCAGCTGACACCTTTCCCACATTCAGTTCTTGGGGGAACCTGGGTGTGAAATGACAAGATCATTTGTGATGTTATTGGTATTCCATTGACAAAAACTATTTAAATAAATAGACATTTCAGATATAAACTGTCCATTAGAGTCGTAGGCATTTTTCAAGGTAGTGTAGGAAGTGGAAAAGCTCACTGATTGAGCACAGGCGTGTAGGAGTTCCTGTCCTCCTCAATAATGGAGACAATAAGCATGATGAGCTTAGGCCAGAAGTCCAGGTTCTTGATACTTGGGCCTTGTTCTTCCAAAGGTAGCTCCTCTTTATTCTGAATTAGAAAAAAGACACACATTTTTATATAAAGAGCCTTGAAACAAAATCTTAAAAAAAAATAATAATCAAATGGGAAAAAAGGAAATGTTTTAAAAAGCTGGGTGGAATCTCAGTTTGATGCTGGTGTAAGGGAACTTACTGCATCCGCAGGCTGGTACTGCCTGCTGTACAGCTCATGGCAATTATTGAAGATGTAGTCATAGGTGGAGTTCAGACAGGCTTTCACACAGTCCCTTACAACCTGGCTAGCTCTGGGTGGAGACTGTAACTCCTGGACCTGAACAACAGATGGCGACAGTAACAGTGTTGCAGGTTGTTGCAATCCAGTTTGACTTGATTCTTTTTTTAAACCACTAATGATACAATCCGAGAAACAATGGGAACGAGATATGTAGTTGTAAAGGAGAGGGACACTACTGATGTACTACATATATGCTACCTTCATCCTGAAAAATGTGATGCTGGTTAGAAGGTCTACAGTGGACTTTAAGTCCTGCAGGCGATCCTTGTTGCTGGCAGGGAAGTGGTTCTGTAGAGGAAGTACGGGTAAAAAAAACATATTCAAATGAAAAAGTAATTAAGGTTCACAGTGTCACGTCCAAATCGAGACTTTAATGCTTTCTCTTCCTGCTAGTTAAGGTCAAAGTGTTTCATGATAAGAAAATACTGAACACCACAAAGAAAAATATATTTTCACAAAATTAAAATACTCATGACTTTGTTCAGAAATATTTTAAAATTGGAGAATTCAAGCATAATTTCACATATTTTAAGATAAAATAATGTTTGAAAGTAAGCTTATAACATGTTATATATAGAGAGAAATATAAGTCATGACACTATGCGCTTTATAAGAAACGTACCCTGTAAGTCGACAGGTCAATGCGCAGGGAGTTGTGTAACTGGTCCAGGAGTTTGACAAAGCGTTCTTTCTGTATGAAAATGAAAGGGGAAAAAAAAAACACTGTAAAGATTCAATATTTTGCGAGGCAGATTAGGCGAATAGTAGAACCAGTGGGGTTCAGTGGTATTAAATTAGAAAGACCATAGCACACGTTTGTACTGTTCGTGTGTGTGTGTGCACATGTTCTTCTAATACAAACCCCAAAATTAGAAGCAGCAAAACGGTCGGAGGCGGACACATTTGTGGATGCTGTTGTGTGGGCATAGAAGGCGTTGATATTAGCCAGCAGGCTGCTCATCACCGCAGGAACACCAGGACACATGTACTTCGTTGAGAGGCAGGCAAAGTGTCTGAGAAAAGAAGCATAAGCAGAGTTTGAAAAAAAGAAAAGCTTAAGAAATAAAACTTGCTACACCTTAATTGAAAGAAGAAGAGAGAAAAAAGAGGATTTAGCTAATTGTGTTCACATGCTGACTTAGACACACTGTGTCTTCCAGAGTATTTGTTTTTACCTGACGACATGAGGAAGTGCTTTCTATATATTGTGGATGAAGCTAAGTGATATTTGTATAGAGCCTGATTTTTTTTTAGGAATTATTTTTGGTAATGGAAGTAAATCTAACCTGTTTTTATTTCATAGCATCAAAAGACAGTGAGAAGAAGTAACATGTTGGAGGATGGAGAGGAAGTAATATAAACACTGACTGGTGAGAAGGCTGCTGTCAATGATGATGTGTCATACTTACGTCATGGCCTGGTAGATTGATTCAATCCCATAACGCATGGCAAACTCATCAACTATTTCCTGAGCGACATCGTCATAGTAGACCTTCCATGAATCGTCTCCGCGGGCCTCGGGGATTTTCACCGCACCTTGACCCAGCACGTCAGTTGAATGGTGGAACAGATTCTGCAAAGGACAGAGGGACCGTCACACATCGGAAAATGGGAACAACAAAAAAAAGACAAAATAAAAATAGTAGCGTCCATACGTTTCAAGCAAGTCTATGAAAAATAAAGGAATGTTTGCACATTGATCGCTCTGATCTGTTTTCTAAGAACAGCGTAGAGTACAAAGTAAAAAAAAAAACAGTTTGAAATTTGACTTTTTTACTTTTCCCAGAAGAGCAGGGATTACGAAAATCTGTGATTACAATCTGTTTTAACTAAGTCGCATCTCAGGATGGCTGTAACTTTAATGTCCTGCATCAGCCCTCTTCTTCCTGAATCTTCTAAAGGTCCATGTGTGGGGGTCTGATCTACCTCATGCAAACAGGTGTACTGCACGTGATATGCAGCTACTTTCTCCTCTCCTTTGATCTCCACATTGATTTGGAGGCGAATGGCGCCCGACACGGCTGACTTGTCCGTCCTCTTTTCTGTAATCAAACACAAATACAAGAATGTGACACACACGCACGCACGGCCCCTTCATGCTTCTCGATTCATAACTCTAAACCGGATCCCTAACACACAGGGGGGGGGGGGGAAAAAAGGAGGTTTGTTAAATCAACAATTATTACCGGCTGTTAACTTGGCAGCTCTATTGTGGAGGGTTTGGTTTCTACAGTTTGATGGTAGTGCAGAGCCGGCAGCGCTAATAGAAGTCCTCCAGCTGATAGTGAGCGAGACAATGGCAGTGGGCTGTGTGGATCCGCGTCTGATCGCCGAGGACATTTGAGCTGGAGCTTCGCTGGAGGTGGAGCGCGAGGCAGTTCGCCCCTGCTATTTGCCCTGACAGGCACATCATTAAGGGTAATTTGTGCATGTCGGAAAGAGCGGTCGATTTCCGACTGGAGTGCTGCCACTTGATAATCTCACGTCAGGGGGAGAAAAGGTGGGAAGAGTACGAGAAGGAAGCTAGTGAGCATAAGAAGATGAGGGACACAGAAGGGAAGATGTTTAAAAAGAGCTGGGCCGATCACATGACAGGTGAGTTATTTTTCAACAGATCCCTAAAGACAGCGACTCCCCGTCGTAGTTTCTTTTCTTTCCCCAAGTGCCTGTAAGATGAACTGACACTTCAAACTGAGCAAGAAAATTTAGATCTGTGTTCATATTCATATTCCCTTCCAAGCTTTAAGGTAAGGCCCATTTTAAACCTTTAACTAGAGTGCTACTTCTTTAAAGAGACTTCCTTGTGTCTTTTTGAGGACACAGATATTTAGACAGTAGTTCAGAAATATAATTCCATATATTCCATATATAATTCCCTGCAATCTATCCAAAAGATAAGAAAAAGATGTTATCCCGAGAGGCATTCAAGCTGCATTTATTCATGCCCCAAATTAACACAAGCACCCAACATCTAAGCAGACACGTGGTTGTATATTTTTCGTATTCAGAATTTATCCGCATGAAACCCTCTTCATATTCCAGGAAATAATTCAGGAGATTATCATAATTTTGTTTCTTTTTCTTTTTTTTGTCCTTTTCATTAAAATGAACACGATTGTTAGCTAACTCGATAAGACTAATTTACAATTTAATAGAATGAGCTTAGAAAGGAAAAAGGAGAGCCGGTATCTTTATGCAGACCAGTACAGGCCTCGAGGAGGTTCCATATCGGAAAAAGAAAAAGGAAAAAAGAAAAAAAAAGGAGAGGCTGCAGGCAAAAGAGACGTGACTAATGAGGTTCAACAACAAACCACTGGCTGCGCTTCCTGAAAACAAAACTACTTGCAGCAAAGTAAAGATGTGAAATCCATATGAACAGCGTCCACGCGGCTGAGAGCTTTACAAAGTATAAAATAACTTTCTTTTTACATCCTTCTGCACAACTTCTTTCAAATTTTTTCTCATCTTACTGACATAAAATTAATCTCTTCTCGCATCATATCTTTTTTTAATCATAAGGAAACATCTTTATCATGCTTTGTATTCCAGTACAGCTAACAGGTTTGAAAAAAAAAAAAAGAGGTAATAAGTTAATAGGTAGATAAGTTATAACAGAATATGTTAACTGTGCAAAAACCTAATAGAAATCTAATTTATTCCTGTGTCTTATTACATGCAGGCGATTATACCGACCCAGGTTGTACCAGACGTCCATTTCTCCGCTCAGCGTTCGAACTTCAATGATACTCTGTCCCAGGAAATCATCAGACTCCCTCTTCAGACGCTGCTTCACCCTGGACTTGATGTCATCATCTTCATCCCACACACGCACTTTGATCCGGTCTGAAGAATTGTGGCACTCACTGACCAAAGAAAGTCGAGATGTGAACCAAAGATTGATTTATCAAAGTCACAGCATTATTAACACAAAAGTAATAACTAAATGCAACAAGATCTAAATAAAAGAAGCACAAATAACTGAACAGGTCAATAATAAAACAAGGAACAGTTTGTAAAACCCTTCATCAGTTTCAGCATTTGATGTGTTATGCTTAGTACATTTCCCATTAAAGAAAGGGCTTTAAGACTTGGAACATTTTTTCGGGCTGTGTTCCTTTTTCGTTTTTGGAAGTAAACTGTGACAACTCACAAGTGGAACTTTTCTTCCCAAACAGGGTTAAGGTTGCCATAAATGGTCTTGGTTCTCTTCTTTGTCTTGCCCACTTGAACTGTGACATACGGATCACTGGATCCTGTTTTGTCTTTTGCCTGAAGTCCTTGAGCGCAAACAACTGAAACACAGAGAAGGAAACAAATGAATAAACTGCTATGATCATCGTTAAAAGCTCTAACTAACATTAAGGAATCTAATCAGAGTTAGTTTTCACTTAGTTTTTATCGGAGGGAATACCAGTGATGGTGATCTTGGCTGACCACTTTGAGGTTCCATCCAACACGCTCTGTTTGATAGCTTTCATCTGCTGGGCGTGAAGGGCCTTGCTGATGACAAAGACTTCTCTGATCAGCTCAAAGATCTCCGGTTTGTTCCTCTCCCTGATCTTCATTCTGTCCTTCATGGCCATGATGATATTCTGAGTCCGGTCTTCGGCCCCATGCTTGGAGCTTTTTTCCGCAGCCCCTAAACAGAGAACGAACCGATTGAAACCCTACGCAACTTGGAAAAAACTCGGAGCGGATTACCTAATCCCGCCAAATGTTTAGAGCTGTGGCTGAACATTTCAGACAACAGTAAGCTCTTACCTACTTTGAGAAGCAAACAAAAGTTGATATTTCCGCTTCAGATCACTACTGAGCGTTACCTTGAACCCCTTTGGGAGCAATACTCACGCTGCAGGCAGTCGGCATTCAGCAGCTCTTGACATTTCTCGTGGCACTTGACCCCGCACTCGGAGCAGCGCATCCCCTGACGCGCGATTCCCCACAGCAGCCCCTCGCACTCGTAGCAGTACGTGGGCGTGGTGGCCGTCCACACCTCAAAGTTATGCGGTGTCGTGCAGGATATGGGGTAGATAAGAGCCTGCAGGGTCTTCTTGTAAACATGGGTTTTCTACAGGGGAGAGAAACTTTTTTTTTTAAGTGTATGGGCTTGTTAGGGTTAGGGTTAGGGTTGGACGTTTTCAGAGCACCCATAAGACCCATAAAATGATCAGATTCTTGGAATGGATTTTGAGATGATACAAAAGAAGAAAGGAAAGGAGGGTCTTTTACTCACCAGCTCTTCGTCTTTGAATGAGGACCTCGCAGCCATAGCAGAAGCGATCCCTGCCTTCCTGGCTTGGACAAGTGACTAAAGTAGGATGTCACAAATGAAAATTTGCTTAAATTTGCATTCAGTAAGCAAATCTTTGCCCTACCCACAAGCAAGTGCACTGCTATAACAGTAGATGGGGAGGATAGTTATAGGTATGGTCAGTAGGGTTAGAATAGTTTGTTTTTCCATCTGTGAACTCCTTACAAATAATCAGAAAACCCATGTGAGTCTTGTTAGTAGAAGCCACTGATGCTCAGATTACTAAAAGCTAGGTCAACACCAAACCTTTAGCTCACAGAACTTTGTTAGTTGTTAGTTCTTTGCCTATGATATAGTCTTGTTTTATAATTTTTTTCTATCAACTGTCACCAAGTGAGGGAAAAACATAAACCAAAGGTAGAGGAATGATTGGTGCTCAAATATTTCACAAGTAATATCAAGTAGGAAGAGGAGCTAGCCATGAGCAAGTTTTCATTTGAGCTAAATATGTGAATTCAAATAGATCGACATGCTAGGGGGTTGAGACACACATGTACGTGAAGCAACTACTGGACTATCTGTCCTACTTGATATTTCATATTTCAGGAGGAAAAGGGAGTGGCAACTTTAATTGCAATTTTATAACTTACCATAGCCTGACCAAGAGGAGTGAATGCATTCAAGAGAGTGGTGGTGAATAGTTTCAGGTTTAAAAGAGGAGGGAGAGAGAAATTAGCAGTCTGCTTTTATTATCTGTTTCCATGTGCTGATGACAGTCTCATCCTGAATCCAGCTTCAAGATATAAGCACTACAAAAACTTCCGTGGTGGTTTCGCAAACATAAAAAGGCACGCTCTCATGTAGATTGAACAAAGCAGGCAGTCTGACAGATGACACACAGAATATTCATGGAAGGTGGACTGACTGATACTGACCACATCGCTGACCAAGGGGATGGGCTTCTTTTTACGCAGGTCAGGCATGCTGTCAATCCCGTACAGACCGGATCCACCGCTATGGATCAGGAAAAAAAAAAGCATAGGAGTTTAAAGCCAATTTATTACCATGGTGGTCGGATGCCACAACATTACTGATAGTAATCCGGAAATCAAACATGCTGCATTGTGTCCTGAGAAGACATGAGGGTAGAGGTGACTTACCCCGGTTTGACCCAGGCCTGTCTAGTACTTGGTTCCACATCTCGGACCTGCAAAGTTCGAAGCGTTACAATCAGTGGGAATTATGTAGGGATTTATGTAGAGACATAATAACGAGAAGGAAGGCGGTAGTGGAAACAAATGTGGTTGAGTTTCACCTCTCTGATGTCAGAGCACATGCAAAATTAAGAAAGAAAAGTAATGGTCCCATCTAAAAGAAAAGTTTAAAAAAGTAACTGGATCTATGCTTTAAGTATCAACTGCAGATTCACGATGTAAAAGTACAATGATCCAAAAAACTACATGAAAGAACGAAACACAATAATACAAATCTCTTTTTCAGAATGCCAAATATAAACATTAAGAAATGTTATGTATTTTTCCATACTATTATGTTTTTTGGGTGAACGATAGCATTATTGAAGAAAACCTACAAGATGTAATGAGGATGAAAAATGAGACAAATATCCCACAAAAATATAGATAAAATAAATAAAATACATAAAAAAGACAAGTGAATAAATAAAGAACAAAACTGCAGCATAAACATGAAGCTGATATCACAGGGGTAACCTGATCATCTTCTCTCCCAAACTCTGGAAAGAAACAAAAGAAAAATGGGGAAAGACAATCTTATTTCACATTTGCAGTAGTTTCAACTTAATTTTTTAATAAAAAAAAAAGAATGCATCCTGCAGTGTCACTACAGACATGAGTAAAAATTATTCATTCTTTTTTTTTTTTGCTGGATTACTGGGCTTTGCTGTGATGGCAAACAAAGAAAAACAAGGAGTAATTTCAAAATACCTGGGGTAAATTCATCTTGTGATTGGGACCCCTGGGACCCTTGAGAGCCATGGGATCCCTGGGAACCGTGAGCAGATTTTGAGAGCCTGTGACGAGTTCGCCGCTTCTCCTTCAGAATGCGCTGGAAATTAGCTATGCGTTCTCTGTGGCTGGCGTCGGTTGGCCTTTTGTGGTTTGTTTCGTCATGGACGAGGTTTTCACTGATTGGACTCAACCTGGCCTCATCGGTGCCGGGTAGGGGACTCTGCATGGCGGGACTGTGCTTTGGTGTCAGGTCAAAGCTGGACATTTCCCCATCCGTTGGATTTTCTTCTCCTTTATCTAAAATCTCTGCTGAGCAAGTTTCACTCTGGGTTGCCTTATAGGGTGACGCTTGTAGGGAGAAGGACAGACTCTCTACACAATCCACGTAGACCGAAGTCTCACTGCTCTCTTTTAGAGAGTCAAACTGAATGTGATTGTCTGTCAGACTATCCTCCTCCTGTGTGTCCACAGCACTGCCTTGCTTTTCCTTTGGTTCACCGGACTGTCTGGCTGGGGATGAAGGTACCTCAGTCTCATCATCGTTGGATCCTTCCAGCTTCCTCAAAGCCCCTTTCAAAGCACTCCTAAAAGTGAACACGGCCTTGCTAAAAGTCATTACATCAAAACCCACATTGGGGGGTTTGGGTATGCTCTCCGAATCCAATTCGGACGACTCTAGTGAAAAAGATTCCCCTGGATCCTCTCTGCTATTTTCTGTCCATTCCCTGTCCAAACTATCTGCAGATCCCAGGTCAAGTGTGTCCCCAGAGGACGGACAGTCATCGCACGGTGAATGTGGCTCCAGGTAACCTTCGTCGCAGTCGGTTAGCATCACGGTCGAGCAGCTCAGGCTCCGCGAGGGCCCACAGCCGATGTCATTGGCACAGGCATCCATGGTGTGGTACCCAGAACTACGCGAGAAAGGGCAGTTTGCAGCACAGTCACACTCCAAGTTTTCTTCCTCGGTCTGATTTCGGACAGGCCTCCAGTCCACCATGCTGGAGGAACTCGAGGGAGAATTGTACTGCTTTCCAAATAACAGTGAGAGGTGCTCAGAGCTGGTGCGTGAGGAATGTGTGCTGCTTTGCGTCTCCTCCGTGGTGCACCGGTTCCAAACGCCCAGGCAGTTCTCCAGTTCTTCTCCGCTGTTCGCACAAGAGGAGATGTCCTCCTCGCTCCAACCTCCCTCGGCACTTATGCTGTGCTGCATGTCGCCAGAGGGCCACCTGTCACATTCTGTCTCACCTGAAAGGAATTCAGGGCTGTGGCATGACGATAGGGAGCTGGTGCTGTGGTAGTTCTGGCCAGGATGAGGCTCCAGATAGCAGCGGTCGGGTTTTGCAAAGCTTAGCATCAATTTGTTCGAGTTCACCTTGTCCGTCTGATAGACTAATCTGGGAGTGGTGTTGTCACCATGCCAGTGTTTGGGGAGTGCGTAAGGTGCCAAACATTCTGAACCTTTTCCATACTCTTTGTGATGTAGCAGTGGGCTGAAGTCTCCACCTTGAATTGATGTGATGGCGTTCTGTCTACCCAGGCTTCCTCGCCTGACATGGGCCGTTTGGGGGCTAGGGAGAGGCTCGGCTGAAGATCCAGAGCACAGATCGCCGATTTCACTGAGCACTGCGTCGACACAACACGATACTTCATCCACTGAACCTCGCACGGAGGACAGGTACTGCCGCAGGTCAGAGATCTCCTCTTGTATCTTGTTGATGCCTTTCAGCTCTTTTAGGATGTGTTCCACTATGTTAGCTGAGCCCTGCTCTGCTGCTTCGTCCTCCATCTTCCCCTCTTCGGCATCATTTCCAGATCTATCGCGCGCCCTGGGCATTGTGTCTTCTTGGCGCTGGGAACTTCTGCTTTCCCCATATGGAGCTACGCCAGCTTTGTTGCTGGTGGTGTCAACTGGAGACGGGTCACGTGAGGGATTATCCTCGGGCCCCTCTAAGCACTGCAGCTTTTTACACATGCTTTGGCCCGTGTCGGGGCTCTGTGACCTCTTCTTCTGCAGATCCCGCCTCTTGGCCGTGAATGAGAGAAGCTCTGAGGTGGGCAGTTCATGCTGTCCACTGAGGTGTCCTCTGGGGAACATCCCTGAGAAGTGGCACTACCTATAAGTTGTGCCCTCTCATGGATAAACCGCAGCCTCCATGACTCGTCCTTGGAGAAGTTTAAGCATGGGCCCCCATGGAAAACTACATGCAAGTAAACACCTGCAGCATGTGTCAGAAGTCATTTTGTTGAGAGAGAAGAGAAAGCAATATTGTTTAGAACTTCTGAGAAAGTCTGGTATATATCTGCAGTGAAATACCAACCAAACCTGATCCTCTAAATAACAAAAGAAAAACATTTTTTAACCAAGCCAATATTGCAAATATTCCACTTTTAGTTAAAGCCAAACATCCATACCAAACAAATTAAATATATACTTATTCAATTTAGAGTAATACAGGTGAAATATAACCTATTTTTCCGAAGATATTTTATTTCATAGTACTAGGGGAGATTGTAGAATCATTGTCCTTACCTGACACTAAGAGTAAGTTCAACTTCAAAAACACACTACATTCCAATAACCTGTATGAATTGTCTCTGATAGTATAAATATCCCATCACCAGACAGGAGCTTGCGTCTACCTCTCTTAACAACAGAGCTGTAGTTCATTGAGGTTGCAGACATTACATATGTGCAACACTATTGGGGTTGACTTGTTTGATGACGTTCTTATAACGTTTCCTAGACTGATGGCAAGCAACAGTTGCAGATGTCTTTCCTCCTTGACTTTGTGTTAACGCATAGTTGAAAGCTACATACCAGTAAACAACTTTCAAATTAAAATAAAAGGAGATGTGCCTTTTTTTCTTTTCTTTTTTGAATGGTTAGTGTGGCAAGAACTAACCTTTCAGTCACAGCGACAACTTGTAGAGTCAACACCATGCAGCTGTTCAGATCTCTGTAATTACCAGGCTTTAGAAAGATGGCACAGTAATTAGATGATGGGTCAATTCTTGCCTCTGGGGCCATGTCATTCTTTCACACCCCAACCAGCTGCAAGCCCTGGTAGCTCTGACCAAAAGACAAATGTGTATATCCTACTGGCATGAACCAATGCCCGCAAAAACATTACAAAAAAAGAGTCAGGATGTCATACACTTATGACCACTGCCCTTTACATTCACAGTATTCAATTCATCAGTTATGTGGGGGCAGAAACCCGGAAATAACTCATGTAAGTTATGGATCATCTGGACATCGACTTATAAGGAAAGAAAGCTCTTAACACGACCATCAGAAAAGAAAAAAGTCAATGACATCCAACAAACCAACATGGTAGTATTTTTCTGATGATTGATCAGATGCTGGCATGCCTTAACCTTGTCAGTTTTATTGTGCCTTCAGTGTTTTATTACTGATGGACACCGACACTGTTGACTTCTAATAAAAGAAGAAAAAGAGACGCTATTGCTTTGGCTCACCCAAGCTGATTCATTAGAACGGTTTAGAATTTTGTGTGTTGCACTCTAATAGAATAAATACTTGTCAGCTTCTCTACGTTTGCCCACTGAACAAGTTTCTTTTATTGAACTAAGGAAACCCTGGCTATTTAGGTAACACATCCCTAAGCTTAGTTCTGCATTTTTTAATTGTTCAATGATAAGTTTTAAATCCTACATTTGAATAAATCTGACATATAAATTAAAATAAAACCAACATGGCTTCTGCTCCATATATAATGAAGTCTGGTGCATTTTGTTATACATTGTCCACGGATAAATATAACTAATGACTGTACATTTTTTCATTTTGGGGAAGAAAACGTCCTTTTCCACAAGTTAAACTATTCCAGAAAATTAATATAATTTCCAGCTGTATCAACCCACACTTGCACTCAAGGTCTCCAACAAATGAACTCTCAATGTGTGTGTCAGCCTGATAAGGGTTTGCTGGGCAGAAAAGGATAATCAAGCTTACGCGAAGAGCATATTGCAGTCAATGATCTGAATTTGAAAATACAGTGACGAGTGCGTGGGGTTAAATTAACTGGGAGTGCTTTTTTCCCCATTAATATATTTTTCCCATTAACATATTTTCTTATTCTTTAAATATACATTTGCAACGATACCTGCCTTCAAACAATGCCGGACTATGAGACATTACAAACCGAGTGATGTTAAAGAGTTTAAGGGACATTTGGGTATGGGCCCATTTTGTTGGCCAGCCATTGTAGTAAGCTGCACAAATCTTTTCTTCTTTTTAGAATTTGATCACCAGCTTGGATATAAAGAGTAACTGTAACAAGTATCCTGCCTTTCAAGCTTAAAAAAAAAAGACGAGTTCCTAACATAATTTATTTATTTGATTTAGCATATATTTAAATGAAGTATAATAAGCATTCATAGGTTCTAGAAATTAAACACAAGTAAAACAGAAACCTCTACTGAATAAAATAAAACCTTACCTTATGATGAGTTTCCTACAGATATCATTTTGCAAGTCAGAATAAATCCACATCTCTAATGTGTGTTAAAACCTCCCCTGTAGACTATTATTATTAGAAGGCTACTAAATGTCTTTCCATGTTTTGGTAAAAAAGTAACTTCTCATTCTTCTCACACAGAAGTGCCGAAACCTTCATTTCTACCGCTGCAAAGAGAAGCATGACAGGAGTAGAGCACATCGAACACTAGTTCACTCTCAGTTAAGTAGCCATCCCGACTTCCCTCCCACCCTCTTGCATGCTTTCTTTTCTCTCCCTCCCTCTCTACTGCTGTCCTCTGGCAATGTATTGCAGTACAAAGCTAATCTCAGGCTGTAAGACTGCCAGCTCTAAAGCTAATTCTTCTTTTCGGCATTTCCACATCTGCCGAATGGAGAGAAATCCAAGTACTTTCATTTATTTCTGTGAAAGTGATGTTTGTTATAATGTCAACGTGTGAACAAAAGCGGTGACAACAAAGTGATCGTCTGACTTTTACCTCGTGAGAGGAAAAAGGTATAAAGCTTGCACGTGGGTATGTTTTACAGTACCAATTGTACATTCAATGACTATGACACAACCTAATAACCACCAATTCTAATTAACCTCGTGTGCCAGGGTTTTTCCATGTCCAAGGCCCTTACAGAGCCTTAACCTTCCATTCACACTCATCTTTCTAATAAGACATTTACAGCCATGCAGGCCAATCATTATAATGGAGCCGTGCTAGGGCTATGATCGTTATTCTGTTAGTGCTATCCTGTTTAAAGGCTTTATAAACGGCAAGAAAAACCCAATGCAGTTGGGAGACACAATGTTCTTATTGTGAGCACCAATAATTCGTAAAAACAACAATCAAGCATCATGGGGTTAAAAGTTAAAAGAAACTCTGCATGAGGTTGTAAGAAATATCATTTGTGGCTGTATATCTATTTTTTCTAAACCAGTCTCAAAGCACAAGCCATCATCTCCAAGTCCGAAAACTAAACATTACTTGGTTTAATTCGATTGGTCAAACGTTAGGACTCAGTTTATTTACGTTGCGTGTAGCAAATTATGCAGTTATGTATTAAGCCTTGAGGGACATGCTTTGATCAACAGAGACCATCTTCTCCCACTTCACATAACACCTATAAGGCCCATGTGAAGTCATAAAACTGACCCCTGAATCCTGCGACAACAGATAAGTAAAGGAAGAGATAGATCATGTTATTTCCCAATCCCACGATATGCAGTAAGCTGGGAAGGTTAGGATAGGCCAAAACAGCACAGCTTCAACAAAACATGTTTTTTCCCCTTAAACAAGCCACTGAATTCTAAACAGTTCCAAGGAAATCATCTCAACATTCAGAGAGGTTAAACTCAACCGGGGTCAAAGATTTGTTGTGTTTGCATGTGTGTCGTTTCATGTGCTGTGTTGTTGGAGAGTGATAAAAAACAAAAACAATCAAATGGATATTTCTGATGATATGGCACGAAAGCTGTAGCGCACTGCTCACCTCCCGGAGCTGAACCCGGACTTTATTGATGGCCTTCAACCAACGAACTCTGGACTGCGAAAAAGGCAGTGGAGGCCCTCCATCATGGAATCTACATTACGTGGTGGATTTCGAGAAAGAGACATACATAATATAACCAGTTACCAGTTAATTTATATGATATTCTGAATTAAGATTTGTGCAAGAATCATACCTTTGGAGTTTCAATGATCCTCTCTCCGCAGGAGGGTCATTTTTCAGAACCTGTTCTACATCAGGGGGCAGCCTCTTCAGCTCCTGCTCAGTGACAGTAGAGTGTCCATTGGTGGTAGGGTGTCCATTTGTGCATGGCTGTCCCTTAGTCGACGGGTGTAAACCAGTACTATGGAAGGAGTGGAAGGACTCCTCCAGCTCTGACCCTCCAGTGCTGTCATGGCCAGTCTCACTAAGCTGGGAGCTGGTCTGGCTCAAGTTCCCCGAAGACCCAAAGCGACTACTTTCCACTGGACTATATGACAAGAGGAGAAAACTCAAATTCAGAATGGGGGAAAAGGTGCGTCTACATACTTTTGGTTATTTATGTTGATATTTATGAGAAAAGGTCATTTGGGTGGGGATCCTAACATGTTTTAGTTTCACTAACAATATAACTTTAATTGTATTGTAGCAAACCCCACAAAATTTTATTTGATACGGTGTTCAAATGTTGAATTTTGTCAACAATCTTTACATGATCAAAGCGGTAAAAATTTGGTATAGAAATATCACATTGTGCCCTAAGACAGATACTCAACCTTAAAAGGAGGCTGCTGCATGTTGGAAATAACACAAATTGGAAAACTGCATCAATGCATGGGCATGATACACCACAAATTATTTCCCTATATCCAATACTAAATTTTCCACTTCGTGGGGCTATGTAGAAATACCTTTACAATGACAGCCTACGTCCATAAGCACAACTTAATTACCTCTGCATATTTTATTTCAAATGTGTCTTTTTGAAATTGCCACATTACCACATCTTTGTGGTGTAGAACAATATCTAAACCATAAAAATGGGGTCCAAACACAAAAAGGCACAACACAGATGAATGTGGTCCATAAAATATGCAGAGATGATCGGTTTAAAGGTTTGAAATTAAATTGATTTGCAGGTGGAGCATTGATATCAACTACATTTTTGTCCCTAGATAAATCATTTCCGGGTTATATGTTGTGAAATGCAATCAATGCTGGCTATGAACTGTAAATAATGTACAAATCAAACCAGAACTCCAGGATCAAAATAATTTGCATAATTTAGAATCATTCAACATAAAGTTTACGCTGAGTCTGTTGCACAAAGTTAGACGATTTTGTCAGAAAGAAATTGAGCAGTTCTTTGGAGGACAATAATTCAGATGAAACCGTCAGCAAGTTCAGTTGACTGGACCCCTTTGTCATGCTAAAACTTTCAAAGAGGTGAGGTAAAAAAAAAGTCATTACTGTGCCTATACATTTTGTTTTTGGAGTTCTGCTTTGAGATGACATAAAATACTGGAGATACACACACAACACACACAAGAATACATGTGCTGAACAAAAAAAGAATGGACTGCAGAACTGGACATGAAATACATTTTTAAAATGTCAATGGAGTATAAATGGTGAAGGGGGATACCATTTATTATATTTCTACTAGCCTTTTTTCATTCAATAGATCCTTCTTGGATTGGTTGTCCAGCTGCACTCCAGAAGCAGAACCTGCAGAGGGGTTTGTTTCTACAAGCCTTTCTTTCTCCTTTGGGATGAGGGATGCTGAAGGATCTACTTCAGGAGCAGAGATGCATATCTCAGGGGGTTCTATGTCATCTGTGGAACCTACCAGTTGAGATTTTTGAGCATCAGATGTTGCAACGTTTTGTGCAGTCTGTGTCTCACCACTTGTTGGTATGCTGCTGGATGGGGGCTGAGATGTAACAGGGTCAGCTTGTGGCTTAAGGGATTCTGCCTGCCATGGAAAACTTATTTTTGACCCAAATAATGACGTAGTTGGCTCTTGTTTTCCTCCAGATGACTTTTCTTCTTGAAAGAGGCCTCCTGAGAGGGATTTCAATCCAGAAAATATACCACCACCTCCTTCTGATGTGGGCAATGGCGAAGCAGTAATTGGTATTGTGGGCGAAAAAATAGATCCAAGAGATTTCCCTGCATCACTCTGCGACATAAAACCAAACAGAGACTTTGGTTGAGGTTGTTCTGCATTGTTGGGAGCCTGATCAGCTGAAGGTTTATTAGTATTTTCTTCTTTGGCATGAGGTGGAGCTGATTTATCATTTTCTTTACTCTCAGGGTCCCCGATGATAACTATAGGTTTTTCATGTACAACCTCTCCGTCAACAGGTATCTTCTCTTTCTCAGTATTATCTATATGAATGGCAGTTTCATCTGTTGTTTTTGTTGGCTCACTTGAGGTTGCAGAGGTTTTTTGACAGGCTACCTCAGATTCTGCTGTACTACCTGTAGTGAGGCTATCAGTTTTTTGTAGTCCATTATCTGTTTGATTTGTGCTACTCTCGCAGCCGGATGGAGGAACCTTTGGTTGCAAATTTTCATTTTTAATCTGTGACTTTGGAGCTGCAACTGTTGGCGGTTTTGGTTCAGGTGGTGCTGATCCAGAAGCCTTGGGTGGTGGTCCCATTCCCCCAAAAAGAGATCCACCTATGCCTCCAAGTATTGATGCTCCAGCCTGTGGTCCTGCAGCCTGACTAGTTGTTCCTCCAAACATTCCACCAAGCAGAGAACCACCTGGCTGAGATGCAACTCCTGTTCCTCCGAACATCCCACCCAATAATGATCCACCACTCTGGGAAGCTGAAGACTTGGCATTAGATCCTCCTCCAAACATCCCACCTAAGATTGACCCTCCAGTGCCAGATGTTGTGGTTTGAGGCCCAGACGGCGGAGCTGACCCTTTAAACAAACCTCCTATTAATGATCCTCCTGTCTGAGGAGATGCTGGCTGGGCGTTAGTCCCACCAAAAATCCCTCCTAATAATGATGTTCCAGCCTGACCGGAAGCAGCCTGGGTTGTCGTCCCTCCAAGTCCAAACAATGAGTTCCTCTGCTGCTGCTGAGGACCTTCAGTGGGAGCAGCTGTTGGTTTGAACAGGGAAGACATGAAGCCTGTAACTGCATCTGCCGCTGAATCGGTGGCAGAAGCAGTTTCCTCTCTTACTTTTGGAGGTGGTATATCTTGTTTGGGACCACTTGGAAGTTCTGTTTGTGCTGATGCACTGATTTCTGATTCTTTAAACTGACTAGCTTCAACGGAAGCTGTTGGCTTGTCAGTACATTGGCCACTCCCTTCTTCAGTGAGGCTGCCATCAGTTTTGGACAAGCTTGCTTGAGGACCCTGAACTGTTCCCTCAGCTTGCTGATGAGTTTCTAGGCTTTTCGTGGCACTCTCATTTAAAACCATGCCGGTTTCTGTACTAGCTGGAGGGGTTTTACTTTCATCAGTTGTCTTTGGCTCAACAGCAGATCTAGTGTCTGTTGAGGCTGAAAGCATTGTTTGTTTGTCCTCATTTTGTATCGGTACTGTAGTCGGTGCTTCAGCTGGACCAGGTCCTCCAAACATTGAAACCAAACCTTTGCTGGACATCTCACTGGAAACAGCTGCTGGTAAAATACTACCCAAAAAGGATGTACCAGTTTGTGCAGAAGCAGTTTGAGAAGATGAACCCCCCAAAATTCCACCCAATATTGAGCTAGATTGGGATGCTGAAGTTTGGGCAGCTGTGGACCCACTTGGCTGAGGCACTGCTGATGATGCAGCTGAACCTCCAAAAATTCCACCCAAAATGGAAGCCCCAGTTTGAGATCCAGCAGCCTGGGGAGCAGATCCACCAAAAAGGCCTCCAAGTAATGAAGAGCCTGTCTGAGGTCCTGCAGTTTGAGGAACAGGTCCCCCTGCCTTAGTGGGACCAACTTGAGGACCTTGTTGGGGTGCAGAGCTCCCAAACAGACCACTCAGTAAAGATCCTCCTGTTTGAGAAGCTGGTGTTTGAGGTGAAGAACCTCCAAACACTGCCCCCAACAATGAGCCTCCAGTCTGAGACGAGGGCTGAGGGACAGAACCTCCAAACACAGAGAATATACCTTTAGCTGGTTGATCCTTAGGGCCTGCTGGTGGAGGTGTAGGCCCTGTTGGTAAAGTTCCAGTTTGGCCAGTGGCAGGCTCAGTGCTGGGTGATGTAAATAAAGAAAGTAAGCCTTTTCCTGGGCCATCTGAAATTGAACTGGCTGAAGACTGATGCGTGCCTGTTCCACTGATCATAGATAACAGTCCTGAAACTGGTGGTTCTTTAGGAGGGGTAGCATCCTGGGGTGCACTTGCAGTGCTTATTTCCAGTTGAACAGTACTGGACTCTGATTTGGGTGCTTCAGATGCAATATCTTTGTCTTTAATTGAAGAATCCTCTTTATTGGAACTTGTAGGTACAGAAATACCAGTGGATGAACTTGCATGCAGTTCACTTGATTCACTGTTAACCTTGTTATCACTTGACTTTTCACCCATTTTTGATGGCTCTGGGGAATGGCTACTGGAAAAAGATAATGGCCTGGATGAAATTTGCCCTTGTGTTTCTTTGGTAGCGGATGTTGAGTGGGGAGATTGCTCTGGAGGTAAAACATTATTAATACTAGAGATTGTATTTTTAGTAGAGACTGTGGGTGCAGTACTACCTGAAGCAGATGTGTTTGTACTTCCACTAGCTTCTTGTGTTTGAGGTGGAGTGGGACCACCAAACATGGAAAACAAATTTTTTCTGGGACTTTCATTAGATCCAGATAAACCTCCCAAAAGACCCCCAAGAACAGAAGAAGCGCTTTGTCCTTGTGATTGAGACTGTTCTTGTGGTCTAGGCTGTGTTTGGGGTTCCCCTTGTTGCTGAACTTGAGATTGAGGTCGTCTTTGTTGAAATTGAGTTGTTGATTGCTGTGTCTGTGGGGGATTGGGTTCACTAAAGACAGAGAACAGTCCCTTCCTTGGGCTTTCAGATGAACTTGAGGATCCAGACAAAATTCCTCCAAGAAAAGACCCTGTCTGAGATTGAGACGCTTGTGTACTGGGACCACCAAACATAGAAAGAAATCCTGTCGATGGAGCTTCTTTTGGAGGAATAGTTCCCTGCTGCGGTGTCTCAGGAGTCGGTTTTGTTTGACTAGGAGGCTGAGGTGGACTTGGTCCTGAAAACATTGACAAAAAACTTTTACCAAGTGTTTCCTGTTGAGGAGGTTGTGGAGGAACACTTGGTGAATGAGTCTGTGGAATGGGTCCAGTTTTAGGTGGAGCTTGTGGAGGAGTTGGCGCTGTGAACATTGACAAAATACTTTTACCAAGAGATTCTTCCTGGGAAGCTGTAGTTGATGCAGATGTTTGTGGTGCAGAACTAGACTGTGCAGCCGGTCCTGACAACATTTCCCCAATTGAAAATCCAAACAGTCCACCAGATGGTTTGC